TAGTCAATACAGAGATGAAGTGTGCCGTCCTTCTTTTTCACAAACAACACTGGAGCTCCCCATGGTGACACACTAGGTCGTATGAATCCCTGGTTCAACAATTCCTGTAATTGCAACTTCAACTCTTTCAATTCCGCGGGAGCCATCCTATAAGGAGCTTTAGAGATAGGTGTTGTCCTTGGTTCTAGTTCAATACCAAAGTTGACTTCCCGCTCTGGTGGTAAACCAGGTAATTTATCAGGAAAAACATCCAGGAATTCATTCACTACAGGTACAGTTGATACATCTGTATCCACTCGTCCCACTTCTACCACACTAGCCAGGAATGCCACAGCACCGTGACCAATTAACTTCCTAGCCTTCAAAGCAGTAATTGTCTTGGGAACACTTCCCAGCTTTGTACCCTGAAACCGGAAGTTCTTTCCCATCGAGGGGTGAAAAACTATCTCCTTCTTATAACAATCAATACTAGCATGATGAGCAGACAGCCAATCCATGCCCAAAATAATATCGTAATCATACATATCTAGCACCATTAACAACACGTCTAATGATTGGCCGGATACTTCTACTTTATTCAGTTTCACCTTTTCATGGGTCATCAACATGACTCCTGAAGGTGTAGAAACTAAAATCTCATAACTTAAAGGCTCTACTTCAAGTCGGGCTTGACAGATAAACGATAATGATATAAAAGAATGCGTCGAGCCAGAATCGAATACACTATAAGCAAAATAGCCAGATATGGGTAAAGTACCTGTCACCACCGTGCTGGCATCCCCCGCTGCCTTGCTTGTCGTGGCAAAGGCTTTACCTCGAGCCTGAGGATGTCCCCCGGCACTCAACTGACCCCCTCCTCCACCTGGAGCAGATCGCTCGGGGCGCATCATATTAGGGTTCTTTGCACTACGACATACTCTGGCGAGATGACCAATCTTGCCACAGTTGTAACATATCTTGTCTGCAGCATTACAAGATCCCGCATGAGTTAACCCACACTTACTACAACCTGCCCTCCCTTCACCGGAATAAGGCCGACGATCAACTCGCTGTGGTACCGTCTGCTGTTGCGAACCCGTGGATATTTGAATAAATTTTCGTTTACCACTTGGTCGTACCTGACTGCTAGAACCCTGATTATTCCTTGGGGTGCTAGCATCTAATTTCACCGCAGCATTATAAGCCGTAACAAAATCTTGAGAAGCATGGGCAGACACGGATCCCTGTATCTCTTGCCTCAAACCTTGAATAAAGAGATTTCCGTCTTCTCTTCCTCAGTAGCAACCATAAGAGGGACAAATCTGGATAATCGGGTGAATTCCGCCTCATACTCCTCTACTGACCTATTACCCTGTTCTAATTGCATAAATGCTTTTCGGTTTCGCAATCTCGCTAGAGCAGGATAATATTTCTCACAAAACTCATGTCTGAAGGCCGCCCATGTGATTGGGGCCCCACCAGCCTCCATCTTCGGCTTCTTTGATTTCCACCAAAAATGGGCTGGCCCCTCCAACAAATATGTAGCACACAACACTTTATGATTCTCTGGGCAGTTGTAGAATGTAAATTTGTTTCAATACATTCCAACCACCATTCAGCTGCCTCCGGATCAGTCCCCTTTCCTCCAAAAGTTGGCGGGGCAAGTTTCATGAAATCTCGTATGTACTCACTCTCCTCTGTCATACATCGTCGGCCATAAGTTACTACCCGCGATGGTGCCTCTGTCACCACAGCTGTACCAGGTAGCTCTGTCAACCGTGTTGGAGGTATTACTGTCTGAACACTTACTCCTGATGCTTCAGACACCAATGTCGTCTGGCCCGATACAGGTACTGTTGGAGCCGCCTGGCTTCCAAGACCAACAAGGGCTGCCTGAACCGCTTGATCCACCCGGCTCTGCATTGCCTGATCTACTCGACTCTCAATCAATGATTGTAATGCTTCCAAAGTAATCACAACAGTCGGCTGATCTCT